AATCATAGAAAGGAAAAAGAATACCAGGGCATGTCGATATAAGTAGAGCTCATCCAGAGGCAGAATCTGGAGAAGGCGTCTCTTGCCTTGGTCTTCTTCGTTCCGGAGGAGGGCCATCTCTCTGTCTGACATATGCTTTACTCTTGTATTTTGATCGATTGGACTGCTTTGGTTGATAAGTAGGGTACTGACAAGGAATGATCTCCCCATTGATATACTTGTCACCTAAAGCAAATCAAAAAGTACAATTATATCACTGGGTAACATCACTTATTAATACCAATGTGGAAAACATGTCTTCATTAGGTATCACCTCCATAGTCTTTGTTCTTGACATCTATATATGAATCTGGTAGTACCCACAGAACTCCAGGCAACCCTACAAATGATGAAGACATAAGCAGACAATTAGAATCAATCCTTGAAGTCGGCCTCTTCATGAAACCAATACCAATACTTACCCTTAAATTTTTCTGATGTTTCTTCTGACACAGTGCATTGAAATCCAGTGTAGGTGGTGGTACTAAAAGCATACATGTTCTTCTTTGCTTCTTCCATACTGACAACCACAAATAGAAACTAATTGTGTAAGGCACAATAACACCAATTAAGTAGATAAAGGGAACATCTGAAATGACTCAATTTACTAAGAAAAGTCCCCAACTCCAACAAACTTCCTCTTCACTAACACCATCATCTACTATAACAACTGTATAAATATCCAAATAGCTTTGATGTCCTCGGATGTTTTATTAGGAATTGATTACATTTTCGACAAGCATAAAAATGAAAATTGTTCCTTACGATCATTTTCTTGCATACAAAAATGGTTTCACAACGGCAAACTGCAACATGCCAACCCTCAAATACATTAAATGTTTGTATTTTGTAATGTATTCTTTAATCCATAATTTTAACTGCTTTTCACCTTGAAAAACCAAAACAAGTGTGGTTTTTGAGGATAATTTTCTACTTAACAACGAGAGAAGAACATTAATCATTGTAGTTGTTTTAGTAAATAATCAGCCTCATCATGCTCACCTTACCACAATTTTTTCTCTTACCAACCAACCAAACCAAGCCGTATGTCTTGATCATATGGGATCAGCTATATGAGCCCGTCTTCCCTATTCATTTCGATTACGCGCTATACGGTTATTAAAAAGTAAAATAGTTCATATATTTTTTTATTATTTTGTTCAATATTAATTTAGATCTACCCCAACTCCTAGTACCGTTAAGAGAAATTCTATCACTTTTTCTAATCGGTGCCTCTACCAGCCTCTGTTGAACATGACAAACTATCTTAATCTATTTCCACTCAAATTATCCTCAATTGGAGCTCTACCTTCCTACCATTTCTCTAATACGGTTATTTCATTCTATCCTTTCTAGTTTTTTCATACATCCATTTTAACATTCTAATTCCCGATACACTCATTTTGTCACTATGTCGTTTCTAATTGCTCTATAAACGGCCCATATAACAATGTTATCCTTGTAACTGTTCAGTAAAATTTGGCTTTCAATTTTATTGGTATCCTCCTATTATATAATATGTCAGGCTTTCCACCACTTAAGCCAAGCAACGATGATTTGATGAGTTACATCTTCTCCAATCTCCCAAAAAGTATGATAACATAAGAGAAAACGCAAACTATCAGATTCCTCATATAGTTCCATAATTCCAATAAATAGTAAAGTTAACACTTAAAAACAACAAACATTACAAAGAGCGACCAACCCCACTACACATCCACATCAAAAATTGGAATAATAAAACCTTAGAACCATCAAAGTTACATACCCACATACAAACCCAAAGTTAAAATGCGATACAGACACACAAACACGCACACAGAAAGACAAACAAATAGTTATGAACGAATTGGATATGCAAAAACCTTAAAAACACAAAAAAAAAAAATCAGACCTTCCAAGCACAGTGGTGAGAGTATTGAGGTAAGTGTCAATCATCTGCTCTCTAGTTGGAGCAGGGTCTTTAGGGAACTCCATAACTATCAACCAATGATTATAATCACAACCCGGTAACATTATCGTCTCTCTGGGTTCATTGCTACTACTCCTTCTGGCCGAGTAATCCCTATCCACCACGGCCCTTATTACAGGAGTTCGAGACTGGGTTGGGTTGGAGTGTTGGCGGGTACATGAAAAACGAAATGAGGAGGAGAGAAAAGGCCTCAAGATGGAGGTGGTGGTGGTGGTGAAGAGTGATGAGATGGGTTTGGAGTTGGAGTTTGACGGTGTTGGATTGGTTGGTATCAGAGAAAGATAAAGAGTTGCCATTAGAGACGAAGGCCCGATGGAGAAAAGATAAGGTGGAACAGCAGAGTATAAACCGGAGACAGATTTTTATGAAGGGCAAAGTAGTCTAAATGTAACCCATCAAAGTAGTCCAGATGTACTCCACGTAACTCATGAATAGTTTAAGTGAATAGTAGCATCGTGATAATTTTTAGAGTTATTTTTTATGAATATTTTAATTTTGTTGTGAGTGATCTACTTTTAATCGAATTGAAGAATAAATTAATTGAAATATGTAAGTTGATTTAGACATTCCTGAGCATTGAAAAAAAAATTGGTCCAATGTGTTAGTTGCAATGAAATAATTGTGATTAATTACGGTGACAATGATATTTTTGTAAAACAATGACACACATTGGAATTTTATTTTATACAAATTTCAGCTGTTTTTTTCTCAATTTGTAACTATTTAATTTTCTTAAAAATAATTTTTTGTAATCCTCTTTGCAAGTTCTAAAAAAATTAAGGGCGACAATAGAAGAAAAAATAATGTCAGGATGGACTTAACTCTTTGAGTTCCGTTTTGATACCACTTATTATTGTCTTGCAATTTAGACACCTTAAATTATTAAGGGAAAAATTATCGTAGATCTTATAAGTTTGAACATCGCTTCTTATTTAACTTATGTGCAATTTTTCACACAAAGCTCTAAATTAATATTCGGATTGTTTTGCAAAACAATGAATCAACTTGTCGATAAATCTAGACAATTGAACTAGAGAATCATTGTTTGGTGTAAAAATTAACACTAAATGACTCTTCACAATACCTCCAAGACGACCCATAGGTGATGTGATATTGTAATCCTCTATTGGTTGGTCCAATGATTAAATCATTGATAGTACAAATTGTTGCTAGGACAGGGTTAAAAATTATGCCAATTGGGTTTTACTAAAAAGTTGTTCGGTTCTAATCCTCATTATACTTGTCTCAAGATATTAAACGGGGAAGAGAGATGTCGCTTAAGTTATTTTGAGTGAAAAAAAAAATAATTCCTCAAAAAGAAACCTCTTGACGAAGATTTCCTCGACCCACTCAGGAGTTTCAATTTCTACTAGAAAACAAATATCTAGAGGTATTAATCGAAACGAACTACTCGGATTCGACTCGAATAAGATTTGACTCGTGTTTTAAACGAGTTGGGATTAAACATATTTTTAGGCACAATTAAAAAGACAAATCCAAAGGCTAGGCTAAAACTCGTAAAGTTTGACTCGTCTATATATAAAATAGTAGAACTACTCGGGCCGACTCAAGTTTTAAACAAGTCGAGTTTGAACAATTTTTTAGACTCGTTTAAAAAAATGAGCTCGACGAGTTCGGCTCGATTAACACCCCAACAAATATCTTAAGTAGTAATGAAGGATAAATCGAACCAAAAAAATAAATAAGATTTCAGGGGTCCGGTACCTTTTTTTGAAAATATATGACAAAAAATATCACATTTAAAAATATCAGTCAAAAAGTACACAAATATATAGTAAATGTCTAAACTACCCCGCTTCTGTAGAAGGGAACAGATTTCTAAATATTTGCATACACAACCGAAAACATCTAGGATATCAACTAATACTCATAAACTCTTTCAATATCATCGAAAAAACTTTCATTCTTCAAAGATTGATGAGAAAATTTTCATTCTTTTCAAAACGTCCTGCTAATCGTTGAAGAAGAAGTGAAAATCACTGTGAATAAGTGATAGATTTTTTTATGGGTTCACTATTAATAAGTGAAAATCTCTATAATAAACGGTGACGATTACACCGAACTTCATCGCTAAAGAAGAAGGTTTATATTGTGGTGAAGAACAACGGTTGAAATTGTTGAAGTTTTTGAAAAAAATGTTGATAACTCAAGAAAAACGTTGTTTGTCCGAACATTTTTATTTTATCTATTTTTTTTTCTCAACTACCTTTTCTATTTTTAGTTCTTGGTACTACATGCATACCAAGTGTTTGTTCATTTGCCAAAAAAAAATAAAATCAAAGAGACTATATACAACTGCATTATCACAATAGACCTTACCCTGTCATCACCACCTTTTCACAACTCTAATTCCATCCACAAACACAATTTGTCCTATTTTGTTTGTTTGTGATACTATGTAATCTTATTTACATTAGATTTAATTATTCATGATGTATATTGTGCCCCCGTGTCATTTCAATGTATGTAGTGTGATATTCGTTTGTACCAGTGTGACATAGGCTAGTATTAGTGTGACATAGGTTGGTTTCAGTGTGACATTGACTTGTATTAATGTGACATTGACTTGTAATACTATGATATTTGTCGTGTATCACTGTGCTAATGTGACATGCATCACTATGCCAATATGAAATGTACCACTGTTAAGGATGACAGTGAATCGAAGCAAGAGCGGGGGGTATAGTCTCCATCCCCATACCTGCTTAAAAAAATTACGTTTGTCCCCAATCCATCCTCGTTAATAGGTATATTTTTCATCTACATCTCCGTCCACGGGTAAATTTGTAATCCCCACCCTTGCCTCGTCCACCACCTTCACCTCCGTCCACTTTACCCACGCAAGCTCAAACTCAAGCCAATATAAATTTAAAATTCTAAATAAATTTAACATTCTAAATAATGCAACATACTTATAAAATATCATAACATAATTAAAAGTTTGTCATTTACAACATAATATAATTAAAACCTTGACTACAACATAATCCAACATAATATAATTAAAAGTTTGTCTCCCTTATAAATCTAACACAATATCATGCAACACAATATAATGTAACATAACATAATCCAACATGAAAAAAATATAAAAATACAAATATCTAAACTTTTACAAGCAAAAACCATGAAAAATAAATAAAACAACAAAACAAATTTTTTTTTTAAAATCATTCAATAAAATGTAGATTTGTATTCAAATCAACATATATATAATAATAATAATAATAATAACAGGTAAAGCGGGACGAGGGTAAGTGTCAATCTATCCCTGCCTTTATTTTCTCACGAGTTTATACGAGTATCGCCGTATACATTCACCGTCTAATACGTATGGTCTATCCTCGGTCCAAACAGAGTGAGTTTTGATTAATATCCATTTTTACCCGATTCATTTTCATCTCTAACCACTGTACTAATGCGACAATATCCATGAAAAAAAATACTCATAACAATCGATGGTATTATATAAGGTGAAAACATATATTCCTCATTACGATTTATAAAAAAATAAAAAAAAAATTATACAAATATAGGGAAGACGTGAATGTTTAAATAAAAATAAATGTTTGAACAACTTCAGTTGAATAAAAGTGAAAGATATAATTTAAAATTAAAAAAAGATATAACATAAAATTAGGAAACTGAATCTCTCGTATAACTGACATATTTGTCTCCCATTAATAAAGGAAAATGATAATTTCGTAAGAAAAAAAAATTACAATTCAACAAAAGTGTACATCTTCATCAAATATTTACACATAAATATACTTATACACTTATATTTTATATTGAAATAATTTTACCCAAATAAGTATGAAATGATATACATTTTCATAATTTTCCCAAAATAAATCTATGGGGACCCGAGTTGGGGTGGTATTCGGGGCCCAAGATTTAAGCAATAAGCCCACTTAGCGAATCTTTAGTCGTTAGGATTTGCCATCAACCCAATCCCACTCACTATCCATTGGATCGTCTATAAATTTTGGGTCATGCAATTCCTGGCCATAAATGGGTGTCAGGTAAAGTCTTTGTAGCTTAGTGGCATTTCTAAGGTTCGGTACCAAGCCTAACATCTCACATTGCCCACAAGCAAACCATTTGATTAACCTTAGAAAATGAGAGGTCGAGAACGTTAGGTCAATCAATACCAAAGGTAGAATTCTTTAGCAACTAAAATAAGATGAGCATCGACCAAGTCATTATACTAACATTGATGTAATCGTCCACTAATAAGACATGTAAATTATACAATAATTAAATATTTATTGATTCATATATAGAAGTGAGGAACATGTTATTCGTTTGATTATTTTTTTTATCGGATAGTGACACTAAATAATAATGACACGGTGTCACCGTCATATTAAATATTTATTCCTTTGGCGGGGTTTTCGTTGGGTCAATCATAATGGCCTAACTTTTTTTTTCTTTTTTTCCCTCAAACGAGGCCTTTATTTTCGTATATTTATTTCAATTTTAATGTGCCATCATTGCAGGCCTTAATTTGGCTAACTAGTTGGACCCATCGGACCAAGACCTTATCCGTTGGACCATAAGACTACCCACTGACAAGTGAGTAGGCTTGTGTGCCGTATCGTATCGGGTGACACATATTTGTGTCGAATTTTAACGGGTTCATATTATAAAATATTTTTATTTATACTTAATTTATTTATTAATCATGTTTCATGAATCGTGTTATATTAAGTTTGTGTCATGTATGAACCGTGTATAACTGGTATATAAATGAATTGTATTGTAAATTTTTTTTATTGACTTTATACATACTCAATTCGTTTATTAATTGTGTCGTGTTGAGTCCACTCATTTACTAAATAAGTGACTTAAAAAATATTCAAATACTTTAATTTTATATCGTGTTAACGGATCGTGTAATTTTTTGACACCCCAACTAGTAACCATCAAGTGATGAGCAAGACCGGCCCATAACCCGGCGGATTGAATCAATCTAAATCTT